GCCATCGTGACGATCCTGTTGGCGTCCCTGTCGATGGACGGCATGTCGTCTCCTATTGTGCCGAGTCTGACGGCGTATTCCTCCAATTCCAAAGAGGCATTCGACACGCCGTACATATTCAGAAGCGTGTGCGTGTCTTCGATGGTTCCTTGCCTGCCCACACACCTCACTCCGTCCACCTTGGTCCAGGCAAAGCATTCGTAGTGTCTCCCGCCTCCATTCTCCGTAGCGGAAAACGCCACCTCGAGAGAGATCTGTTTCGCGTTACAGAATGCCACGGTCATGATGCGACCTCGATTGGCGGCCAGCAGGTTCTCCAACAAGATGTTATCTCCGGTGAAAATCTTAACCATTCTGGCTACGATTCTTCTGTTCGTCTTCTCTGCCATGGCGTCGAGGTTCGCTGATTCCGAATATATCGTTTCGTGATGATTCACGAGTATATATAGGGATTAGTCAGCTGACGTTTTCTGAGTACCCAAGACGTCATCGTTACCGGCGCATCGATGTTTTCAAATAAGGGCGTTCGGATGACGTCAATGTTCCAAGTACCCATGATGTCATCGTTATAGTTGGTTTATAAATAAGCGGCGGAACCTGTCCATCAATTAAAACTAAGCAATGGCCGGGCAAGACGAATCATCGTATCGCGGGATGTTGGTGAACGTCGATAGGTACCTCGAGGATCGAGATGTTGTAGCTCTGAAGTACTTATGCCTGGATGAGAGCATCGGTCTTAGACTTAGCGAATTGGAAAAAATTAGCAGAGGCCTTGAGTTAATGAATAAACTAGAGGATAGAGCATTGCTTTATTCATCGAGATTGGAATTACTTGTCGAGCTTCTGGGACTGATAAGGCGTTCGGAACTTCAACGCCAGGTTTTGGACTTTCGAGGGAGCACGGAAGGACTCGGTGAAAAGATAATTTCACCCTATAGGTATGTAATTCTCTTTTTTTTTAATCGTTTATCTTTAGAGCAAAAAGATTTTTTTTCTCGCCAATGATTGCCGAGCTAATTTAATATTGTTTTTCCCCCATAGAGCCATGATACTTGATTTTGCTTCTGGAATCAACGAAGAAGAGTTAAAATCGCTAAAAACCGAGATTGAAATCAACCATACCCGCAAGAACTGTTGGACGACTAAAGGAAGCCATAAGATTGATGATTGAATTGAAAAAACTGGCAGTGATCAGACCTCGACAGGTTGATTTTCTGTTTGAAATTGCTGAGTACTTAAAAAGGGACGATCTCGTTTTGAAATTAAATGATTATAATGCAGGAAAATACGATTAGTTCAACGCGATAGCTGTAATCGTAATCCGTGTGTTTTCGGATATCTTTTCGAAGAAATAAAGTTTTTGATAGAAAAAATAACAAATTAGACTATTGGTTGCTGTTCTTGTTAGCCTGATAGTGTTTGACTTATGTAACGACTGACGAAACAGGAAGGGTTTGAAACAGGACTTTTAATTAAACAAGGGGAAAATTAAATACGCACACACGCAAACATCTATTATAATCTGTTTTATGTTTTATAAAAGCTTACTTCGGCCTTCGGCCATGAGCTCGTGACGTCAAGTGTCTAAGAACCGATGACGTACGCTCACCGTACAGCGAAAACGAAATAAAAGTCGAGTTAAAGTGATTCCATCACACTCGTAGAGCTAACGACATGAACGATAAACTTGGCCGGACGACGACTGTGACAAAGAGCACCGACGATGTATGTGTCGGCGGAGCCTCCTCCGAATCGGACCGGCTGCGAAAGAAAGAAGAGGAAATCGTTTCCCTGAAAACCGTCGTGCAGAGCATCGACGTGCTGAAGCTTTTGCTGAACGACTACGGAGGTTCGATCGATTCGTTGAAACTAGAACTCAAGAAGAAGAACCTAAGCATCGAGCACTTGCAATTCAGACTGCACACAAACAAACTCGATTCGTCGGTCGATCTCAAAGAGCACGAACTTTTCGTGCCCGGACACGACAAGGAGGTTCTCGACCAGCTGCTGAGGGATAACGTGAAATTGCGAACCGTCCTGAACTCGAATTACAGTTCCGAGGAAGTGGCGGAAGCGAAGAAGACGATCGCCGCTCTCAGGATAAGGATCGCCAAACTTTCGTCCGAGGTCCGCACGAAAGATGAGGAGCTGACCGAGTACCTGAGCGCTACGAATTTTTCCGACTTGGAAAAGGACGTCGCTATTAGAAAACTGAGCTGAAGGAGTGCTACGGACAGCGCAGTTACGCCGACGACGTCCGTCGAACGCTCTGCCGCGAGATCGAACGAATGAGATCGAAGATCGACGATCTGGTAACGGACAAGATCGACGTGGCTCGGGAGCCGAGGGATTACGAAAGAAGGGGAAAGGATGTCGGCTAACAGAGAAATTGTTGGGTCTCTCTCATCGGAAGATCGATGCAAGGTCTTGGAGGAACAAGTGTCGAGCTTGGCCAGGGAAAACGACGAACTTTCGAAACAGCTGAAGGAAGTCATAAGCATGAACACCAGATGGCAACGGTACTCGGATCAACGTGAAGCGCACGTCATCAAGCTTACGGGAGAAATCCAGTCGCTTTCTGCGAGGAACGAAGTGTTGGAGAGGGATTGCCGCGAACTGCGCATGGGCCTGGATAAAAAATGCCGAGAGCTTGATGACTTGCGTTTCGCAAAAACTAACGGAAGTTCCGTCGTCGGGGAAGTTTCGTACGAGAAGGAAGAGGAGGAGGAAGTGCCGTTGAGATGTCCCAGGTGTTTCAAAGCTTACACCGTCACGGAACACGCTTCGTTGATGGAGCACGTCTTCGATTGCGGCGGCGGACACGACGAAGATTTCGATGTAGATGTATTTTATTAGTGAAAATGAAAATAAATAACACAAGCAAACCAAATTTAACGTTTCAAGTTTCATATCTTTTATTGCAGTTATTAATTCAATAGTTTACAAATTACAACATTTCATCAATCAAATATTCCATGATGTGGGCGAACGCGCGATCCAGTTTGGTCGGCGACACGGGTTTGTCGACGACCGAAGTCTCCCTGAGGGGATTGTAGAACAACCATTCCCGTTCCTCGTTCAAGGCCAGATCGTTCTCAATGTATTGTTCGACCGTTTCTATCCTTCGGTCGAGTTCCTTCATGCTTCTGTGCGATCGCAACTTGAAATCCTTCTTCCACCTCTCCGCCAGATCGTGGCGTACGACGGACGCCAGACGGTTGGCCAGATCCTCCACGCGTGTCGTCGCGTCTTTTGTTCTCTTTTCGACGAGCTTCATCGTTTGCTCGAGTTCCCCTATCTCCTGTCGGACAGACTCGGCTATGTCGGCAGCGCGAACGTCTCCGACGGATCCGTCCGTCAGACGCAGAGCGTACCCTTTTCTGACGGTCTCTCCGGTGGTGCCTAAACACAGGGTCACGTCTATTCACAAGGAGTTGGATTGCGGGCAAGCGACGATGTTCGGTTTCAACTCCCTCCGCGTGCAATTCGAGATTTCGCAGATCGAATTCAAGAGGATCGGTCTTGGCTGATTGCACAGTTCGTATAGGAGGTGAAACGTCCTCCTCGTCGGCGACTTTCGTTACAGTCCTCTCTCAGGATCCTCCACCAGAGCACGGAAGGCTTGCCGCATACACCGCAGTCCCTGTTGAGGTCGAACGAGCATAGGATCTTGTCGCCCAACATCATCTTCACTTTCCACGTTTTGCTTAAGGTCTGTCTCTGATGGTATGTTTTTGTGCGATAACTTAAAAAAAAGTGTTGGTTTGTTCAGTTTCTGTTGTGATATTTATTTTTGAAGTTTTATTGTTTATTCTAAGTAATAAAAACCGATTAATAAAACTGATAACATATCATGGATTTTTTTTAAATTTTTTTTTTTTTTAAGTTCAAAGTATTTTCCTTTTAGTAGAGCGGCTAAGATTGAATTTCAGGTAGAATTGTGCACTTTTTGAAGAAAGCATGAAACTTCCCACAGTGATACTATGACACCCAAAGATCATTAAAAAATATAGTCCCCAAAAAATAACGCCTCCTAATGGCCATCATCTTGAAATCCAATATGGCCGCCAAAATATTTGATTTTAGCCAATTGCTATCTACAGCACATGTCATTGCTAATTGAAGATCATTACCCATGTTTTCAATATCAGGGAGTGAAATGCAATCATCAGAAATTGTCAGATGGCGCCGCCATATGGGATTTGATGATGGCCGCCAAATTATTGATATTTTTGTCAATATTCATATCTACAGTAACTAGCACTGTCAATCAAAGATTGTTGCCCATGTTTTCGGTATCAGGGACTATCATGCAGCCACCTGAAATTATTTCAGAAGACCACCATAATAACTTTTAAAATTTCCGCCATCTTGAAATTTAAAATGGCCGCCAAAATAATTATTTAGCCTATGTATTCATATTTACATTCGTCATAGGTACTTAAATAATTATGCAAAACCTAGGCCAACTAAAAAATTAAAATGTTCACAGTATGTAACTCAAATTCAAATAATACTTTTGATTATTCGCGCAGCTGAAATCAAATATTCATAAGTCGTTTTAAACGACCCATTATATTGGCATTGTAACATCAATGTGTTTTTTTCAAAATAAGACAGCGGGCGGCAATCCTGTATCTCAGAAGTTTCGTGGACGTTTATCTTTGGTTGATGTCCTTTTCACCTCCAGAATTCAGATTTTCGAGTCGAGTCAGTCGAGAAAGCCCGAGTGGAGTTTAATGCAAATGTTTCATACGGGGAAAAAATCGCCACCGGGAATCGAATCCGGTACGCGCTGCTCAAAATGTTTCTTACAGAAGAATGGGGCATTCAATAGTGCTAGGAGTATGATACGCCAATGGTGTAAAAAAATCAAACACACAATATCACAGTCCTTAACGTGAGCCTAGAGTAATATGGGACTTACAGTACATTCTGGAAGCGATGGATTTTTGTTGTATAAAATTCATTATAAATTAATCAGTGAGATTTAAATAATAATCATTTAGGGCCTCTATTATTAGTGTGCAACTAACATACATTAGGACTAACACGACATTGCGTTGCAATCACTCTCACAAACCAATCCAGTGTGTTATTGTTGTGAAGGCCTAGGCTAGGCCGATTTGCTAGGTCGATGCCGGCCGCAAAGAGGTACAGCATGTGTTATATTATTATTATTCATAAATGAGTTTATATCAATGACGATATATAGGCATAGGCCTTTTATTGTATTATTCCTTGTACTGTATTGTTATGTATTTTTCATGGTTTTATATCTATTTTTATATTGTATTTTGGCAATGAATATCTACTGTATCTGGTCTTAGACTTTGTATTACAAACCAGCCGATGTATTGGCATTCTTAGTCGATATACGCCTAAGGCAGTGGCGACCGTACTACGGGCAGTGCAGCCAGTGTAAAGCACTGGTTTCGAGGGCTGTGAAGGGTCTATTTCTAAATAGACCTAGACATAATAATTTAAAATAATTTCCGACTTAATATCATTGAAGAATAAACGGTCAGCGGGCCCCTCAATGATATTTTAGAAGATTAATTATTGATTATTCTGTTGATTTCAAATCAGTGGTGTATTGAATGCAGTGGCGTCGAGAGGGGGGTCAGGGGTCGCCGCCCCGGGGCCCGGGTCTACAGGGGGGCCCGGACCAAGATGAAACATTTTCGAGGTAAGAACAAAATCTCCATAGGGCCTGAGCCCAAGCCAGGATGAAAACTTTTGTTGTCAGATATAGGAGGAGACTTAATTTTGGGAGCGGCCGAGTGGGGGTCCCAAGTGAAGGGGCCCATGTGAGGTGTCCCCGGGGCCCTTACTGGCTCTCGACGCCACTGATTGAATGGTGCCCCAGACATTTAAAAAAAGATAATTATATTATAATTTAAGTCTGATAGTGCTTTTTCGGGCCATCTAGAGGTGCTATAATCATAAATTTTCCTACCTCAGCCCAAACCATGGTGGGGCTCAGGTGGTCTTTACCTCCCATCTGTGAAAATTCCTCCCTGGCCCTCTATTTCGAATTCAGGCCTGACCAACCACTGTATTTGTTAAACTTTATGTACCACCAATGTTGTTTATTAGTTTAAAACAGCTGCTGAGACCGAAATATGCCCCTCTTAATATAGTTACGAATCTGATTATCAATATTATTTATTACTAGACTAGGCCTTTAGGAGTAGGGGGTGAACGAAGCACTTCTTACGATGGAGTTTCTAAAAACTTTAGGGAATTCCCTATCATATTAAAGGGCCTGGCAATAAATCTTGCTACAGTGGGGCCCTTTCGCACCTACAGTAGCTACGCCGCTGGCCCAGGGGCCAAGCCTTGAAAGTAGGCCTAGGTGTACATAGAGAATATACAATAATATAAGAGCATACATTCTTACATAAGCTTTCAATCAATCTTAAACACTCCCCCTAATTTTAGTATTTCGGGTGATGGTTAGGTGACCTTCCTCGAGAGCTCCGTTATATGTAGAAATTATTCCTAATTGTATTCGTTTACTGTTTTAAATTAGATTTCAAGAATTTCTCTATACTGTACTTTACATTGCACTTATTTTTCATGGTTAAGTTTTTTTTCACATGGTTTGTTCGACCAGATAATGTTTAATTTTTTATTTGAAGTTAGACAATGTGTTATTTGTCAAAAAATGTGTTTATCAATTCATTCCATAAGTTTTGCCCATTAACTGTTTAAAATGCTGACCAAGAATTTGTCTATTTGGGAGGTATATTGTAGTATTTTTGACGGAAAATACATTTAATATTCTCTTCATTTCTTATATTCTCATAAATAAACTAAGCATTCTATCAGGCAATTCCTTGTTTCATTAGCTTGTACATAAAATCTTATGTTATTATTAAAAACATCATTCGAACAAAATAATATTTCGTTCCCTCGAATATTTTTTCTAACCATGTCCCTTAAGGGGCTCCGTAGTTTGGCAAACAATGACCCTGCATTGTTTTAAAAAAAGTGAGACGATGTAATTAATCGAGGGTAGGTTTCTAATGAGAATAACCCTCTAGGCATGGTTTTGTAAGTATTTCCAGATAATGTTGCCATATTGTATACGTGGTAAAATAAGTGCGTTATAAATATTGAGAATTCTGGAAGAGAAGTAAGACTTCGCTTTAAACAGAACACCTGTTGCTTGAAAGATTAAGGAAATCTGATTGATATGATTTTTCTATAAAAAAATATTATTTAACATAATACCTAGGAATTATCCTATCATTCGACAATTTGTCATTGATTTCGAGTTTCACGGATATGCTTTTAATTTCCTTTTGTCTGGTGTGAAATGGAACATAATTTTTCTTACATTTAAGAGAAGTATTGCATTTGAACCACTAGGGTACCTAGTTCATCATTCACAATTTTAGTAATACTGTACTAATAATGTTTTCACTATTACAGTATGAATTTGTGTTTTGTCAGCAAAAGATATAATTTCTACTTTCTTGCTGGCTCTATAAGTATATAATTATGATTAATAAAAATAAATATTAATAAAGTCCATAAAATAGCAAACATGTACTCGTTATTTTTGAAAGAGTTTAAAATAATGTCATCACGATCAAGTATTGCATGGAACGTAGAATAATTTTTTCCTAAATTTGTACTGGTTTTTAAATTTTTTTTTTCCTTTTTATTTAATTAGATGTTTGTTAAGTAGAGGGGTTATGGAATTTAAAATGATGTTTTGGGAGGTATTTCATCGTGGCCAGGGCTTTTTGAAGGGTCTAGCTCCGATATTATTCCGAATAGAAATAAAGTATATACTAGGAGCATTTGCAATATTAATGTCACCAGTTACCTTGCAAGCATTGGCATTTATCAGAGTTAGAAAAATTTTATAAAATTTCGTTGGATTTATAACACTGTCTATCACACTCTATGTTTTTTAAAGCAACCCTTTGTTTAAGAAACCTTTTATAAAAAATATTTTAAAAAGTTTAGATATGAGAGTAAAATTATTGCGATAATATAACGAAATAAAGTATAACACTCTCTGTCACAATCTATGTTTTCTTAAAGTTAATGATATTTGAGAAGCAAATGATAACATTAAAAATGATTGAAACTAAGGTTAGAGACTACTGAAGAATAATTATTATGGAGCGTGAAAAGAGAAAGCATGGGCATAATGTTCTATTCCACAATGTGAATGAGTCTAAAATTGGGAACACGAATACTTGATTAAGAGAAACAAAGACGATTTTAGACTTATTCCTCTAATTCCAATTGTATACAAACACATAAAGGCTGTTTTAGCTGAGCACTTCTATCCTAAATAAGGAAAAAATAGGCAAGAACCTTGAAGAATAACTTATGATATATCTGAATAATATTTTCTAAATTTTTAAATAATATTTTGTATTGCTTTCTTGAAAAAGTCTTCATATATTTTGATGAAATTGGTTGAGTTTTTACAGTTATCAAGAATATACAACTACACTAAAAGTTAAATACAACAAAGATGATACTTTTGATGGTATGTTTTTGTGCGATAACTTAAAAAAAAGTGTTGGTTTGTTCAGTTTCTGTTGTGATATTTATTTTTGAAGTTTTATTGTTTATTCTAAGTAATAAAAACCGATTAATAAAACTGATTCACCTTTAATTAGAGGAGATTATGTATACACTGATTTATTCATTCATTCAAGTCACGTCTAGTATGAGTCTGTTCCGTGATATTCATGAACGCGCAAAGAGATATTT